TGATATAAACTCGCAATTCTGACTTTTCTCGCAATTGTGTTTACATCTCGCAATTCTGACTTTTTTTCTCAGAATTGCATGATATAAACTCGCAATTCTGACTTTTCTCGCAATTGTGTTTACATCTCGCAATTCTGACTTTTTTTCTCAGAATTGCATTATACAAACTCACAATTCTGAGAAATTAAAAGTCAATTCTGAGTCAATTGCAGAATTGCCTTTTCTCAGAATTGCGTGATATAAACTCACAATTCGGACTTTTCTCGCAATTGCGAGTTTACATCTCGCAATTGCGAGTTTACATCTCGCAATTCTGACTTTTTCCTCAGAATTGCATTATACAAACTCACAATTCTGAGAAATTAAAAGTCAATTCTGAGTCAATTGCATAATTGCCTTTTCTCAGAATTGCATGATATAAACTCGCAATTCGTACTTTTCTCGCGATTACGAGCTTACATATCACAATTCTGACTTTTCTCAGAATTGCGAGTTTGTATCTCACAGTTCTGACTTTTTTCTTGCAATTACAAGTTTATACCTAGCAATTCTGACTTTGTTTCTCAGAATTGTGAGATATAAACTCACAAGACCAATTCTGAGGGGAAAAAAGGACTGATATTTTCTCAGAATTGTGAGTTTACAGTATTTAAACACACAGTTACAGTATTACAGTATTACAGTATTAAATCACAATTCTGATTTAATAACTCACAATGGCGTGTTATAAAGTCAAAATTGCAAGATATACACTAGCAATTCTGAGAAAATATCAGTCCTATTTTCCAAATTGCAAGATATAAATGTTATCTCGCAGTTCTGACTTCATTTCTCAAAATAGTTTCTAATTCGCAATTTTTTCTTACAATTATTGCGAGTTCACATTCTTTGCTGACTTTTTTCCTCATAATTGCAAGATGGGAACTCGCAATTGTAAGAAAAAAGTCAGAATTGTGAGATAAAAAGTCACAATTACCTTTTTTTTTAATTCAGTGGCAGAAACAGGCTTCCATAGTTATTGCATCCTTTTAGACCAGCACAAAGAGTCACATGCCTTCAAAGTGTCAGATTTTTTACGAAGAGGTGTTTTAATGTCTTTCATTGAATTGTGAATAATACTAGCCAACCATTTAGTAGGGGGCTCATGGAACATGGTTGGTAAACGCTGGACTAGCATATTAGCATTTACCCATTTTTTTTTTTTATAATTGAATGATTTCAAAACTGAACTGCTTATTTAATTTCTTATCAGGTGATTCATGTGACAGGTCGGATTCGGTGTCGGCCAGCCCTGGCGCCAGGCTCCTCCCGCCCCTTGCATCGACCGATGGGATTAGTTGCTCTGGCTCACACGCTTCCACCCTCCATGCTCAATGAGGTGCGCATGGAAAGTCAAATGTTTGTCTTCAGAGTCAACATGGACCTGCAGGTCACCTACTGTGAGAACAGGTAAAGTCCCAGCATGCCTCAGTCTCAGTTACAATATATTCTGCTACCTTTGCCATAGTGTTTGCCCATTATTGGTGTAAATGATAACTCGTACCAAATATGTGTTATCGCATCAACACTACGTCTCAAGCCTGTGGAATAGAATTACACTACATGGCTGACAGAATGATTAAAAAATTAGATAAAAATTTACATGCACTCAAGCTAAAAACTCATTGTGTTACAGACAATGTCACTCTTATATGTGTACTTGTCTGGATTTTGTAGGATTTCAGAGTATATGGACCTGAGCCAAGCTGAGGTGGTTGGACGTACCTGCTACCACTTCATCCATGCAGAAGACCTGGACACCATCAGGCAGAGCCATGAAGACTGTAAGCCTGTCAAGATTTGTGATCTATTTGCCACCCCATCTCTAAAAAAAACTTATTACGTGTCACACATCTCTCTCAAAGTTGTATATTATATAACAGAAATTATATATTTTATTTATTTATTAGTATGTGTTTCATGTCAGGAACTTAATCACACTATTGGATTTTATTTTGTCATAATGACCAATAGATTGTAGGATAAGGAAATATGAAGAGCTTTAGTGAGGGTGGCTGCAAGGTGAATAATAACAGTAATGGAAAAGAAAAAATAACCTTTTTTAGTTCATGATTAAAGAACAGCTGTATCTGTTTTGTCAGTTTAAGAGCCTGAAGCTGCGGTTTACATTTTACATTTTGACAACAGCGCCCCCTAGACAAATAAACAAATTGTGAAATTCTTCTCCACATCCAGGTTATAAAATGTATCTTTTTTTTGTAGCCATCTCCTTGTGGTTTTTGCATTTTAAAATCTATTATTTAATCAGACTCCTTACCTAAATATAAATGTATATCTGTTAATTATTCTCTCTTAGTGCTGCGGAAAGGGCAGGTTGTGACGGGGTATTATCGCTGGTTGCAAAGGAGAGGAGGGTATCTGTGGATTCAGTCCTGTGCCACCGTGTCCATTAACCACAAAGCGCCCCATGAGCGTAACGTCATCTGGGTCAACTATGTGCTCAGGTCAGTTTCTTGGTGACCTTGTGTGTTTGTGTTTTTGAGTGTTCTGCTACAGTATAAAAATGTTAATGTGCTGAGAGTTTCCACAGAGGCCCTGGTAAGCGCTCTTCCTCTCCATCTGTCTACAGTAATCTTCATCACACAAGCGCACACGTTCAAAGAAGTTAAAATTGGCTGAATTTCAGTGATAATTGGACTGGTGATATATAATTACACCAAATGGATGTCAAAATTTTCTGGCTGAATGGTGTTTTAGTTAATTAGCTTTGTAATTACGATAGCTAATTAACTTCTATAGCACCCTGCTGGAGCCATGTTCATGTTCAGAAGGGCTTTTCTAGTGTATGTGTGTGTGTGTGTGTGTGTGTGTGTGTTCGGAAGCGGTATCACAAGTGAGTACCTCTCTTACGGTGCTGTTAATCTCTATGAGGAGGAAACTCTGATGCTGTGTTCCAAAATATAGTGAACTGTGTTGCTACCTACTGGTAAGGTACCTTCCTTTGACTGATTTGAAACAATCTACATAGCCAGTAAAGGTAATTTATTGGCACCAGAAGAATAGCAGTTCTGCTGCACAACACAAGAGAAATTCTGTTTTTACAGCTGATCCCAAGAGTTTGCCATTAGCACATGTTGCTAAGCAAATGACGCAATACTCCAAGTATAAAATACATTGCATACACAAATTTTGGGTCAAATAATTCACTTTAAAAATTTAAATTTTTATTGCTACGTTATAGAACTTCTTTTTATTTTTCTGCCATCTTGGATTTTTGCTTGTTGCAATGCATTCTGAGATTCCCTTCTCTGTGAATAAGTACATTTTAATTAGATCAAACTATTATACATTTCAATACATTTCATAACTTCTCTCGATCTGTCTGCAATTTTGAATAATTTTTTCCAGCAATTTTGTTGTAAAGCATTCTTAGACTACCTTGTAAAATGTCAATGTATTTATAGAGCACAATTAAAAACAATGACAGTTGACCAATGTGCTGTTGAGTGATTTCAAAAAAGGATGCTAGACCATATATAAAATAAACAAGAAGATAAAACATTTAAACATACTATGTAACAATTTTGAATTGAAACAATAGATCCAATGTTTTTTTCCCGTCCTGTGTGTCAATTTTTTTTCCCCGTCGCTCCATGATGAAATGGGCTTAGAGCTTAGAGCACGTGCCAGGAGCAGCTGCTGTTGCACAAAAGGGCAAGGGTGGTGGCGCTGTATTGAAAACCAGTCTAAACAAACACTTAAGAAGAGTATTCTGAGAGAGAATGAGAGTGGATGCTGAGTTCTTGTTATCATTGGTATCAGAGAACAGATTCATTCTCACGTTCTTTATATAGAATATCATTTCTATTCATTCTCCACTGAATTATGTGTTCTGAAGAGTACCGTTTTCTTCCATGTGTGCGAATGTTATGAGTTTTATGGTTTTAAGAAAAAACAATCAAATAAAATTTCAAGTGTAGCTTGATGCTAATTGTACCTCTAATTATATTTTAAGATGTATACTTGTAAGCATTATAGATAGTTTGTGTTTCTGGTGTAGAATCCAACTTTATTTTAATTTACTGCTGTTGAATAGCGGACAATGTTAAATCTATATATGAGATACATATCTGAGAAAAAATGCATTGTTGCTCGGTCGCCACCTAGTGTGCAGGCGTGAATTCACATCGACTTTTCACGTCGTGCTTAGTGTGAAATGGCCTTTAGAATTAGGTTTGCTGCGGTAGTCGGTGTTACTGGTATTACCCGGAGTTTGTCCGTACACCAAATACATTATTTGCCTACCACGGTACTGCCCCCACAGTCGTTTTGCTTTTTATAGAAATAAAAACCATTTAGTTTAGCTGGACAACATACGCTACAGTAAACTGAAAATGTCTGCTCTGCTCCATACAGCTCGCGCTGCAGAGCCGCAGCAGGAATCAGAGTTCACTAATCAAATGAAGAAGCACTTTCAATGTGAGCACTTTGAGTGTATAGCGTGGTTTACAGGGTTCCCACGGGTTCTTGAAATCCTTGAAAGTTTGTGAATCTGAAAAAAAAATTTCAAGGACCTGGAAAGTTTTTGAAAATAAGCATACATAGATACAGGTCCTTGAAAGTGCTTGAATTTATTTTGTGCAAGAAGTTTTCTGGAAAAAAATCCATATTATTCCCTCCGGTCCGCTAATGTGTTATTTCGCAAACACTTCGTGGCCTATGCATATTGGCTTGCTTGATTTACCTTAGTTACGCGCATTTACGGGTTACGTGAAATGTTTCCCGCGTGAGGTACTTTGTGTTGTACGTTGCCATGATGTTCACGCACGCACGAAACTACTATGATGGTACCGCAACGTTTCACAGACACACCGTAAAATTAATGTTGAATTGCTTTGCTTGTTAAGATAATGTAAACCCATGAGACAAGAAAAACTTAAACGCATATTCATATATCTTAAAACGTCTGGTTACATGAGCCTAAGCTCTTTTAAAACAAATCCATGCAAAAGTTAATATCAGATCATTTTAGAATACAGTATAGGATGTACCGAATATTCTTCAGGTTTATGCAAAACAGAAATGAATATTCTTCAGTTTTATGCAAAACAGAAATACGACAAATATAATATCAGATCTCTGTCATATGGCCATAAAAAATGCTTTTTTATATAGTTGTGTTTGACACATGAAAACTGTAACAATGTATCTTACAAGGTAACACGATGTAACCTTGCTCTCACTTGAAATGTGTCCCCACATTAAGTCCTTGAATTTGAGGGTATTGGACCTGGAAAGTAATTGAAAGGTCCTTGAATTTGAGGTTAACCAAGGTGTGGGAACCCTGGGTTTATACTCGCCACGTCAGCATGTATGCGTAGCAAAAATTACATGGATACTGAAGAAATGATGGCGGACAGAGGTTTGGTTTTTTAAGCGACATGTAAAAGTAAAGTAAAAGACCATTTCTTAAACCTTACCAGAGAAGGTGAATATGTTGGTTGTCTTTGCAAAAAAACATGCAAGCACTCTCACCGACAACCTATTTACTTATTTATTTATTTTAATATGATTTCAGTGTTTGCTAAACTTTCTGTAATCTATTAGTCAATATATAATACAGCATGTGGTGTATGCCATGCCTCGTTCATTTTTGTTAATCAATGTTTATAAGCTAGTTTGTTATTGTACGTTTTATTGTTGTTGTGCAGTTGTGGCCTAACTGTTAGATAGTCAGACTTATAACCCGAATGTCGCGAGTTTAAGTCTCAGTACTGGCAGGAAATTTAGGTTAAGGGAGTAAACGACCAGCGCTCTTCCACCCTCATTACCCACAACTGAGGTGCCCTTGAGCAAGGCACCGAACCCCCAATTGCTCCCCAAGCGCCACAGCAAAAATGGGAACCCACTGCTCCGGTTGTGTGTTCATGGTGTGTGTGTGTTCACTACTATGTGTGTGCATTTGGATGGGATAAATGCAGAGCACAAATTCCGAGTATGGGACAACCTACTTGGTTACATGTCATGTCATGAAGAATAATAATGAATCCATCTTTCACGCATTCGTTTTAAACTTAAGCGCAACAGACAATTACCTTTTCTTGTAAAACATTAACACCAAGATTGCCAATTCGAAAGCAAAAATGAAAGCGTCCAAAGTGTTGCCAGTAATACTGGTTTTGTTTTGTGGCAAGTTTTTTCCTCACTTTAACATCCCTACTTAGAATCTGCCAAACAAGTTATTTAAAAGTTGTGATGAAACAAAAGTAGCATCAGATCTTTTCTGAGTGAAACAGAATGTTGAAAAAGAAACAGTAAGTAGGGTGAGGACTTGTTTCAATTTATTGGTTGTTGATTGAATGGAGGCAGATTTGAATGTGAGGCTGCAGTCGATTGTAAGAAAGGGGTGAAATGATGCCTTAAATTGCTGTCTAGGTAGGCAGCTTACTTATGTTTCAGAACAGGTACTATATAAGATTCCAGTACTATTCAAGTTAGTATTTGTACAACTTGTTGTGTGATTCAACCATACTAAATGATTGGAGAACACTCTGTTAACCTGTGGCATAGAGTTTAGCATTTAGACTGTTAAATGTGTAAAGCTCCCTAAGGTAAACTTCTCACACTCTTTTATCTGTATTTTCAGTCGACCAGAGCTGGCAGACATGCCTCTGGACTTATTACAACTCCCAGAAAGCCTGAGGGCAGAGAGGCTTCAAGCAAGCTCCTCCCCACGCAAAACCTCTCCAAAGGCACAAGGTATGCTTTTAGCCCCTCACACAATTATCCATACACACACTGGTAGTATGTTACTCAACAGCCCAAATCAGCAGAGTTATCTTTACTTCAGGCTCCACAGGGACACAGCCATTGAAAGGCAGGACCGAGACAGACCACAAAGGGAAGGAAGCCTTCTCACACACTGCTGGCAGCCAATCAGAGAACACCAGAAAGAGATCGCACCAGTCTGATGCTGAAAGTGGTCCTCCTGAGGTGAGGAGGCAGATGGAGGTGTTCCGGCAGAGAGAGGACAGCCCATGTACCTCCTCAGATCAAGCCAGTGACAGCGAGGTGGAAGAGGACGATGAGAGGGAGAGCGAGTGGGACAACAACCCCACCAGCAAACGGGTGAAGAGCGAAGAGGGGCAGTTGAAACAAGGCAACGGGGACAATGGAGCAAGTAAGATCCACAACGGTCGTGCAGTGATCCAGCATCTTAAGAGTGTGGTGACCAGTTCCGGGTCGAATATTAAGACTGAACAAGAAGTAATGGGAACAAGTGTAGGTGTGGGTTCTGGGAGGCGTTGGAGCCAAGCTCAGCCCAGCAGTGGAGGAACCAATGGCAGCAGTCCACCTTCCCAACCTCAAAACTCCACCCCGACAGAAGATCCATCCAAGGGTCTGTTCAACCCACCCTCCCCGACCCTGTCTCCACCCATTCTGGCCTCATCCCTGCCCAGAGATGATCGGTCTATCCACGGAGGGCGCGCTCCAGACTTCGAACTGCTGCAGAGACTGACTGCTAGTGGGGCTGCAGGACGTGTGCTATTTCATCCCCTGGCTCTCGGCCCACAGGGGCCTCAGAGTCTCTATGCTCCCAGCACTATTCGCTACGCCCCACCTGAGATGCCTACAGCTCACACTGAAGGGCACCACTCAGACCATGTGGCCAAAACTCCCGCTTTCTTTCCCCACTTGCAAAGGATCGCCTCTCTGCCTCCCTTCAGTGGTTTTTCTCCAGCTGAACACACTTTTCCTCCAACTCTGCCCTTCTGTATGAACGGACTGAGGGGAGCAGCAGGGACAGATGAGGATTGAAGGACAAAGACAGAAAAAAATATAAAGGGGAGGCGGAAGAGGTCATAAAGGACAGGGTACAACGTTAAGAGAGGAACTGCAGAAGAACTTGGGGTTTTTCAAACAGTCTTCCGAGCATCCTCTCCAGACTTTTCTCTGTTAATTTGTTAGTGTGTCTTCCTCTATCTCTGGACAAGCAGTCAAAGCCATAATGAACATATGAAGGACATCGTGCAACTTACACAAAGGGGCCATCATTGAGGCCTAAATCACTGGAAATACAGGGCTGTCATGTGGAAGGAGAGCCGAGGACGTTGTCCTGGGGTTGCGTACAAAGGTCCTCTTTGACCCCTAGGGAGATGGGCCCACCTATACATTTTTTCCAAGTCCCCATAAATTTAAGAAAACACACAGGAATATGCAAGTATGGACAAAAGAAGAATGGTGGCAATTGCCAAATAAGACATTCCTAAGGAAACAATACATAAGAAAGCACAGTCCACAGGTCCCTGACTGACAGAGGGGTCGTAATGAAAATAAAGATTAGAACTTTTGAACAGTGTAGAATTTTCATTTTTGTATTAAAAAAAGAATTGTCTTTAAACATCTAAAAAGAGTCACTTGAAAAATGATTAATTCAAGGTCATAGCCATATATAGATAACGCTGAGTTAAGAGACTCCATACATGCAAATGCTCCAAATGTTTTTTTGTTTTTTTCACAAGACATGAGCAAATATCATGGACTAATCTTCCTATAAGAAATTTGAGGGTTTTGGGGGGTGGTGGTGGTTAAGTGTGGGATACTATTTGTCATGTATCATGTCCAAGCACTTATAGTATATTGTTGCATACACGTAGCACTTCATCCATGGCCAGACATTCTAGTTCTCCTACTGTAAAAATCACAAGAATTAAGTTTACAATAGTTGTGCCAGAAATGTGCTGATGATTCCAGAAACTAAAGTGTGGAGAATGTTGTCTGTTATATAAAGGTGTAATGTTTTATTTTAAAATAAATTGTCCACTGGATATCACAAACCTTGTCATAAACATGTCCAGGTCATATTTCACTCAAAAATCCAAAGAAATTAACTGTATTTTGCTTATTTATATTCCTTTTTTATGACATTATTGAAATGTGAATTAAGTACATTCACTACAAATTCTCATTACTGAAATGATAAAGTACTTGCATTTAGTGAAAATCACCAAAAAGAAACCTAAAAGAATTACAAAATAAAAGTGTAAAACAAGTAGACACATTACTCCTTGAGAATTTGGGGGAGAATGTGCGCAAATTTCATTAAAATACTACCAAACTGCAAAAAAATCATAATGGTCTTAAAAATAGGCATTTGATTTTGAAGTAAAATATTACCTGTGACACTGAGATTCACCCCACTATGTAAAGCTAAGGCACACTGTTCCAAAACCTAGTGAGCTGCGTAGCATTGTAAGGCATTTTCCATGCTCCTCATGTAAGACAGACAGTAAAATAGTAAATATTAAAATGAGATACCGCGTTTTTGCCAGATTCTAAGGTCTCATTTGAATGTAGATCCCAGAATGCATTGCAGCAGTGTTTGTGTGTACAATATATTCTTTGTGCTCAAAGTATTTTTAGCTTAGAAACACGCTAATGTAAAATTATTGGAATCAAAGAGTTTTCGTTTGTGTCTGTAGACATAAAATGTGAGGCAGCTCACTAGTTTTTGGAGTCCGGGTGTAGAACAATAAGGTCTATGTTCTTTAAAGATGTAAAAAAATAATAATAATTATACAACGTTATGGGTACCTTTCATGAGGATGAATAGATGACAGAAAATTCAATCCCTTTCAGGGTTTCAACTGATGAAACCACATTGAAGATAACAATGTGGTTTAAGCAGTAGCTAATTACAAAAGGACAGATACAAGATTCACCATGTGAACATTTTCTAGGTTTTTTTTTTTTGTGTGTGTGTATGCAGGTTTCTCTGCCCATGCAGTATTACCAGATATGATGGTTTTCAGTAGCACTAAACGATACGAGATGGTTTTTATTTGTATTTGTGATTGAGGGTGAATGTGTAAATAGTTGAGAGAATCAGTCCTGAAACATCAGCACGAGTTGGTGTTCCCTTAACCTTTACCATCACTGTGATTCTAGCTTCTTTATGATGAGATGTTTGTGAAAATACAGCACCATGAGCATTAAATGAAAATGGTACACTGTAAAAACAATTATTATGATAATCCAAACAACAATAATAAACTCTATTCCAATAATGGAGCATTTCTTTGTGCTGTCATTTTGTCCTTTGCATATTCGAACTTGACCAGTCAAGATGCATCAGTGGTTCATGAATAAAGAA